CATGGTGACAATAAAGCAACCTTTCCTCCATGAATTCATTTCTTTGTGGCACTTATTAAAAAAGGCAACTGAGCACTGCACTATCTCTGTACACACCTTTTTCCCTTAGACCAGAAATCTTCAGATAATTTTTTGCAATCTAGAATTTTTTTCTTCTGAATTTCCTCATCATGACTTCCACCACTGATTCCTGTATCTCCGGACCCATGTCCTTCCCCACACTCTTGTCACACGCTGGTACATACAACACGAGATAACAGGCTTATCTGATCTTCCACGTGAATTGATAGCAGCTATTTGCATGTGTGTGTAAATTCTCGCAGATTCCCCGTGTGATCTTTTATCACACCAGTACAATTAGGGGAAGAAGAATTATTTCTGACAACTTTCTCTTATCAAGACTTTAACTTATCAAGACTTTAATGCACAGAGGGGGAAAGAAAAAACATAAGGGTTTCATTCATTGGGTGAATGCCTTAAGAAGCACTGCAGATCTCCATGAAAGAGAGAAGTAAAGAGCCTCCAATCTCATAATAAAATTGTTTACTTGTCATCTGTGACATGTGTGACATGACTGTGGTTGGGGGTGCAGCAGGTTTGCAGTTTCGCACATCCACCCTCATGCTCACATGAAGAGAGGAGGAAGACGCCAGTGCACCCCAACTACAGCAAAAATAGTTTTGGCAAGTGTGTATGGCCTTGCTAAGAGGACAGGGCATAATGACAGAGTCACAGAAACATAGAATGGTTTGGTTTGGAAAGAGCTTTAAAGACCACCTAGCTCCAAATCCCTGCCATGGGCAGGGACACCTTCCACTAGACCAGGCTGCTCAAAGTCCCACCTAACTTGGCCTTGAATGTTACCAGGTACAGGGCATGTATAATAATAATGCACATGTACAAATGCTGGTGGGCTAGTTTTTGGGGGGAGAGGAGTGTGTCACACTGGTCACTGCCACCTCCTTAATCCTTCACCAAATGGACATTTCATCATTTGCAATGAAAACCTGTGGGACACTACAAAGTTCTGATCAGATGCAGGAACTCTGTCAGTCAATCACCAGAATTTGCCCCTCCATTTCAGCAAAGCTCATTTGCACAATGGGAAGAGTAATTCCCTGGCATAGCCCTTGCAAGAAAGCCTCTCGGAAACTCATTGCAGCCTTTTATCCGTATCCTTGGCTGTAAGTCATTTCTATTAACAGCGCTTTGCTATAGATGTTTATAACAAAACATTAAAGACTTGGTGAGAAAGGAGAAAACAAATTACTCTGCAAAGAACCTAGCAACTCTGCTAAAATACTGTCAGTTATTTATCTGCTGTCGGCAGAGGTTGCACACTGTAATCCTCAACAGGCTCAGATTTGGGAGGGATGGAAAGAAGGGGCAGGGATTGAATTGGAGGACCTGTTCTCATGCAAAGACATTTTAACACCAATTTAAAGTGAGACGGTGTCTGCTAGAGAATGTCACTTTTGATTTTGATGCATTTCCAAGCAGGCAGGGCCTATGATGGGCTGACTTAGCAGGAGAGGTGTAGGGGCTGATGCTGTATTTTAGGGCACTGGCGGTCCCTGCAAAGCACTAATGCAATGAGGTCAGCATCACTTTGTTTTGAGAAATTTTCTTTAACAACAGCATGACTTCACAAATGGTTTTTTTTATAGTTTAGCTGAAGGGGGGTTTTGTTAGGGGAACACAGAAACATGAAAAAAAAAGTAAAATTAAACTTCCTTTTCTTTTTTTTTTTCTTTTTAAACTCAAAATGAAAACTCCATGTAAATCATCAGGGTAGACAATGGTTGTTAAGTATTACTGTATACAACAATATCTGCAAGTGCTTCGTGCTGGAATACAAGCACAATACCACTGCCAATGTTTTACACACAAAACCCCGTCGCACATTACAACACTTGGCTAAAATTAGTCCGCTTTACGCAAAGGCTCACACTAGGCCTAAGAAGGGGATGCTTTTAACTGCTGATGTCTGAATAAGGCACACAATGCCTCCGCCTCTAATAAGGCAATGAGTGCTTATTTTTGGTTACATTGCACCATGAAGGGGCTGCTTCCAGCCCCTTATTTTCACCCAGGCCACCCAGGCCATGGGCTGAGGATCCTCAGCTTTTCGGTGGATGCTAAACTGGTGTCTTAATTTTCTAATTCATATTCATCAATTAAAAATAAACTATATTTTTTTCGCAAGTGAATTTACATAAATCAGTTTCTAAAGCATCCTAACACCAAAGGGTAGGAGTTCAGTCCGGAAGATTTGCATGCAGCATCCTCAGATGAAGACAGGCGCTTTCGATTTCCATCGAGAGCCTTGCTGCGCTGGAACTCTAATGGGCTTAGAACAGTAAATTTTGAAGAAACTGATTGCTGCCCCTGTAGCTAGTAAATGCCTGCCTGGACCCAGTGGCATTTGAAAAAAGTGTTTTATCATAAAATTATCCCAGCAGAGTCCATTCTGCAAGATAACATCATCATCATCATCATC